CATGCTGCAATCCCTTCTCCTCCATTCTCCTCTCGGGATCTTGGGCACGCACGCACACGCGCCCTGCATGAGTTTTAAGCCACCGGGTCCGGGACACGAACTGCGGTCGACTACGTGGGAGTCCAGCGACATAGCCATTACGCTAACTGCTGGTTCCCCCAGTGTTTACTTTTTTAACCAAAAATAATTCATTCTTTTATTTAATCAGGAAATAAAAATAATAAAAAAATGGCTTTGTGAAAAAGCTACTACTGAGATCAATGATGCTGGTAACCCTCTCATGTACTAGCACATTCCTTGTCGTTTTAATAAATAGGTGCCCTGGGAACCAGCAGTTAGCGTAATGGCTATGTCGCTGGACTCCCACGTAGTTGACCGTGGTTCGCGTCCTGGACCCGGTGGCTTAAAACTCACGCCGGGCGCATGTGCGTGCGTGCCTAAGATCCCGAGAGGAGAATGGAGGAGAAGGGATTGTGGCGTGGCCATCCCCTCTGTGGGGTGATTTCTTGCTTTCTGTCTCTATGTCTCTGTCTGGCGAGCGCACGCGCCCTATAGCAAAAAATCTCTCAAAAAACAAAAAAAAAGGTGTTCTCTGGGCCAATAATGGTGCACAGTAACCCAGTGGATTTTCTAGCCTTATTTTTAATTCCAGCATATCATAATCTGCAAATCTTTTGATCCCCATTTTTACTAGTTCACTTAGTGCAACCATTGCTTTCTGCAAGCTTCTAAAAACCATCCTAGCAGTATGTTTAGTACCACCTCCCAGTGACCTAACTAGAATTTTGAATCCTCAGGTTGGGTGAATGCATCCCCTTTGGTCCATACTCCCTTATTTAATATGCTTCTCACTTCCATAGCCAGGTGATGTAACTTTACCTTAGATATTAGCTTGGAGGCTAGAAGGGAGATGTGTTTCTTGAGCACCAACTATGGGACGTATCATTACAAAACTGAGCTTCCTGAGAGAAATAGGGATGATGGAATCCCTGTGTAATGGAAGCCAGGTGGCAGTGCTTAACCACCAATAACAAGTTAGGCACCATAACTGTAATGAGCAGCAGAGTCAGAGTGGCAGCCAGAAGGACATGACCCTCAGAAAGCTGTAGAATTGGTTAAGAGAACACAAAGTTCTTAGTCAAGATAGATGAGCAGCCAACAAAAGTTGGCTCAATCTTTACAGTCAAACTAAGTCTAACATGGATAATGAAAGAGGCTAAGGACAG